GAGAGGTAATACTAATACCCAACAATATAGAATTTAATGCACAAATTATTTTTAGTAAAATAAAATGGTATCTAATATACATAGAAGGGCAAGTTTACTAAGAAAATAAAACAATATGAAATTGTACACACCTTGAACTCCAGAGAGGAAAATGAACAGAATTACCATGAGAAATGGACATGTTCATCAGCAGTTTCAAGATTTTAACATGCTTTTATCAGAAATCAGTAGATCAAGATAACAGAGTATTAGAAAATAGATAGAAGACTTAATCAATGATATTATGAAGCCTGATACATTATGCATACATAAATTTATACCCCAAATATAGAGAATGATCACAAGGCAATATACTGGAAACAATAAAAATATACTTAATAAAACCTCATGTGTCTGGGAATTTTAAAATGTACTCCTCAATAGCTTATAGGATATAGAAGAAATAACAATGGCAATTAAAAAATGCTTAGAACCATAACAACACTAATGGTACTCTAAATCAATTGCAAGCTACCAGTATCTGGGGGAAAAAAAAAACCTGAAAAATCAATGTTTTTTTATTATGCATCCATCCATTCCCTAATAAATCAAGACCGTATCCATTTATACAGCCCTACTACAAAAGGTTTGTTGGATGCATTTTTACTTGATGGCAGCTATTTGATATTATTGATTCTAATCAAAGTTCTCATTTTGTCAACAAAAGTATGAATCACCATTTGTCCAAACTTGAAACAAAGGGAATATTTATGCAGATCATTTTACAAAAAGTGAGTAATGAAAGTATAATATCATTTGGAAGCTGTTGCAACCAGTTCCTATGGTAGGGAAAATTGTGCCTTCCAGACCCCAGCAAGAGAAAAACCATGGCTTTATGACAAGGTTCATCCTTTAAGGGATATAGGGAAAACCCCCAAAGCAGCCCAGCTAAGATAGGGAGAATAGTCCAACTAACACTTGATAATGTAGCAATGGTGAAAATGACAGTAGCTTTACTATATGTTTGTATATTCATGGACTATGACAGAGGTACAAAAAGCTTTTGTGTAAAGGGCCAGGTAGCAAGTGTTTTAGGTGTTATGAGTCATGGTCTCAATTCATGAACTAATGGGCATGGCTGTGTTCTAATAAAACTTTATTTACAAAACAAGTGATGGGGCAGATTTAACACAAGGTTAGGAGTCCTGTGCCGACCCCTTGATCTAAACCAAAAGGCAAGAATGGAACACCTAATTGGGAACCTACTGTTTTATCTTGACTCGTTTTTGTGTTATCTAGAGTTTGCAAAAGCTTTGCATTCTTGCATATTTATTTTCATTGTAAAACATAATTTTTGAAAATATGGCCCAGTATCCATGCAGGATTGGTTCCAAGACCTCTCATGGATACCAAAGTCTGTGGATGCTCAAGTTCCTGAAATAAAATGATGTAGTTTTTGCATATAATTTATGCACATCTTCCTGTATACTTTAAATCATCTCTAGACTACTTAGAATATATAATATGATGTAAATGCCACGTACATAGTTGTTATACTGCATTCTTTAGAGAATAAGGACGAGGAAAAAAGAGGCTGTACATGTTCAGTACAGAAGTAATTTTTTTTCTGAGTATTTTTGATCCATGGTTGATTGACTCCATGGATGTAGAATCTGCTCATATGGAGGGCTAACTGTACATTACATTTATTTGCATAAAATCCTAAGTTATTCAGGTTACTTTTATGTTTATTATGAGATTATTTTTGTGCTGTATCATATTTGTATTTTTCCTGCTCAGCAGTGCTTATGATATAGTAGAATTCTTGAAAAAAATTTGCATTTAGTTACTATTTTCAGATTTTGATAATGAATTGGCCATTTGATCTCAATAAGATAAAAAATGATTATGTATCAAACCACCAAAATATATGATAAACAGATATGGGGTAATTAAAAAACAGCCATTTTTTTCTATTAGACATTTGAATATACACAAACCTAGTGTATTAGTCAGGGTTCTCTAGAGGGACAGAACTAATAGGATATGTGTGTGTGTGTGTGTGTGTGTGTGTGTGTGTGTGTGTATGTATGTGTATATATACATATGTATGTATATATATATACACATATATATTATACTTAATACATTCCCCTTTATATATATACATATATATACATATATATGTATACATATAAA